TAATAGATACAATTTCACTTCACTCCTATAATTTCTTATGAATGGTCAAATTGATGGAATTTGTAATATCATTTATTCATAATAATGCATAAAATATATTACGTAATAACAAGATTGAGAAAGTTCATAAAATTAAACACCACATATTAATTTTAGTCTTTAAAATATAAATATAAAATTGTATTAAATTAGTATTTCTGACTACCTTAGTATTTCTTACTTAAAAATTATTGTACTATATAAACTTTTTAAAATATTTTTTTATTTACCTATCTATTTTCTATTTGTATTTTGTAATGTATGGATGTATGAACATTATCCTGTATGATTATAGGTTCATTTGTTACGTGTAATAACATTGATACTTCGAGTTGTTTGACCGCGATGAACACTAATAAATCAGTTCATGATGACGTTTTAGACGTTAACATTGATAGCATGGCTGAACCAGATAGTTCTGATGAAGATAATATTGATAATGAATTATCTACAAGTTCTCCTAGAACTCAACTAGCACAGTGGGCTATTAAGCATAACATTTCTAATGTTGCAGTATCTGACTTACTAAAAATTGTTAATTCGTGTTATGATACTTCAGTACCGATTGACGCCAGGACTTTACTTAAAACTGATATTTCCGGTACTAATATTCCTTTAAGAGATGTTTTACCTGGTAAATATTACCATTTTGGAATCGCAAACGGAATTAGAAATCATTTAATTATTGAAAACCGAAATGATCAATTGATCAAATTAGTAATAGGTATTGATGGATTACCTCTAACTAAGAGTTCAAGAAGCACGTTTTGGCCAATTTTGTGTTATATTAGACCGCATTCAAATATTGTATTTCCTATTGGAATTTATTGGGGTTATGACAAACCAAGCGATTCAAATGATTTTTTACTTGATTTTTATGAAGAGGTAGTACATTTAATACATAACGGTATAGACATTAAAAATATGTCGGGAGTACTCAAAAATAACCAAATTTGTATTGATACATTCTGTTGCGACGTACCGGCAAAGGCCTATGTTTTAAAGACTAAGGGTCATAGTGGTTTTTCTTCGTGTTTTCGGTGTTGCACAGAAGGAGAGTATTTAAATAGAAGAGTTTGTTTCCCAGATATTAATTGTAATAAACGGACTCACGAAACTTTTATAAACCAACAGCAAGAAGACCACCATGTTGGCTCTAGTTTGTCAATTTTAATCAACATTCCAAAAATAAATATTATTAATGTATTCTCACTAGATTATATGCATTTAATATGCTTAGGTGTAACAAAGAAATTGATTAATTTATGGTTGAAGGGTCCCTTGAAAACCCGTTTGAATGGTACTAAAAGTAAATGTCTAAATAATAGTTTAATAGAGCTCAAACATTTTGCCTCCATTGACTTCCAGCGGAAACCTCGTGGTATTGATGAAATATCTAGGTGGAAAGCTGTAGAATTTCGAAGTTTTTTATTATACCTTGGACCTGTGGTACTTAAAAATGTTATTCATAAAAAATGCTATTTAAACTTTTTATGTTTACACGTAAGTATTTTTATACTACTTAAGTCAAACATTGACAATAATTTCTTAGATTTTTGTAAACGATTATTAGATTATTTTATACATAATTTTATTTCCATTTATGGTCGTGAGTGGGTATCTCATAATGTGCACGCACTACAACACTTAACTGATGATTATAAAAAGTTTGGTTCATTAGAAAACGGTAGCGCGTTTCCATTTGAAAATCACATGAAAACCCTTAAAAAATATGTGCGAAAAAGCAATCAACCATTACAGCAGGCAGTTAAACGTTATACCGAGACTATACACTACAATAATATGTCATTAAAAGCTTTACCTCATACAATTGATTTTATTTTTAAAAATAAACATAGAAAAGGCCCATTACTTACAGAATTAAACGATGAATACATTGATTTTCAATTTAAAACTCTAATTTTCAGCAACACCGAGATTAGAATTCACCAAGAATCTGATAATTGTCTATTGATGACTGATGGCAGTATTGTTAAGGTTAAAAATATTGTTTGCCTGAATGAAACATCTAATCAAGGTTTTATCTTAGGACACAGTTTTGACATGAAAGAACCATTTTATCTAAAACCTATTGACAGTTCTAAGTTAGATATTTTCACAATTGATAATTTAAATAATAATTTAAAATGTTGGCCACTTGGTAGTATTAAGTGCAAATGTATGATTTTAAAATTAAATTTTACTAATAAAAGCGTAGCTTTTCCACTCATTCATACATATAAAATTTAAAATGACTAAAACAATATATCTATCCATTAAAAATATATTATGTATTATAATACCTAAATTTATAACACGTATAATAATAATATATATCATATTATAATAAACTAATGTACCTACCTATCATAACTTTTAAAATCAACAAATTACTGATGTTGAAAATGTATCTATACCATTTCTATAATATTATATTATAATTAATTATTTAAAAAGTATCTAATCATCACTGGATTAGACTAAATGAGTTTATCTGTGATTTACAAAAGTTAAAAACTATCCAATATGTATAAATTTCTTTTTCAATTTTTATTTGTTAATTAATATAGTATAATATCATCACTTTTTTGAAATATTTTGTTTTAGTTTTAATTAATTATTCTGTGTTGTAGCTACACTTATTATTATGTTTTACAATTTCACTTAGGTATTCTTTAATGTTTATATTCTAATATAATGTTTTAAATTGTTAATAATATCTAATAATAGTTTTTAATTTGATTAACAAATTGTTTGATGTTACCTACAATAAAATATGCATTGTTTTTATTTATATTTAACTATTCTTTTATGCTTATACCTTACCTACTAATTATTTCTATAAATTATAATATAGTATTGATAATACTGTATTATATATTTTATTTTATCCATAATATACATATATGTATGATACACCTACCTACCAGTATAATTAAATCAAGAATTGGATTTATTATGGTAGGTACCTACACTTTTAATACCTACATTTATTAGGTAATTATTATGGTATATTTTTAATACAAGTGAATAATTTCTTATCTCATGAGTCATGACTTATAGCAATGTTTTATGAGTTTATGACCAATGACAGTATAATATAGACTAACCTATAAAATAAGCTATACTTACAATATTACAATAATATCAAAGAATAGACTAAATTGACTATATTATTATGAAATATCTTGTTGTCTGTAGAATGAAGATTATTGTAAATTACCTATGTCACTTGATGGACACATAAATTACCTAGCTATAATATTATGTTATTATGTGTGTATAAACTGAGGTACACATTACTTTTATTAAAACTCAATTAATGTTTGCTGTTTAACAGGGCAATAATATTACTCCCAGAGTGATAACGACATAACGTGATTACTTTAGTTTTCGTCATAAAACGTATTACAATTTTTAAAAAGCTGAGATTCGAATAGATTGTACCTAATCAGAAAGTTTATTATTTACAAGTCACAAATTACTTAATGAGCATTATAGCGCCGAGGAGTGCATATCGACGAATGCCGCCTGCACAGCATCACTGACCACTGACGCATATCATGCGCATAAATCAGCCGGGTATCTAATATATACAAGGATGGTTCCATGAACGCTTTATCTACACGGGCACCCGGGTATCTTGACACAGCGTATAATATATTATATTATTATAAAGAGCTCTGAAGTCTGAGTGATATTTGATTTATCAATGTATCATGCACGAATAAAAATATACCTACTAGATACGCATTACTTAATGAATAAATTATATTATTTAATTATTTATAGTAAAAAGCGACGCCCCCATGGCCCCATATGATATATATATATATAAAATATATATAATTTAACGCTATTTATTTATACCGCAATAATAATGTGGACGAAATTTTATTAAGCATTCAATAAATACTTGAACGGATACATTAACAATGTAATTCTAATTTAATGTGTGAATAGTGTTAACCTTCTAACCTATTATTGATGTTTATAGATATAGGCTTAATAAGCATTATTTATGATACTCTATTTAAATGTTAGTCATAGTAGGTTTATTCAGCATTTGATATAAATTAACTTTTAAATATTTAAAATCTAACCTAAATCAAATGTTTATATAGCACTAAGAATTTACTTTAATGTAAAGGTTTAAAAATAAACACTTTTTCTAGTATTATTGAATCTTATTTTTTGAAACTTTAAAATTCAACTCAACTTCAACATTTATAGAAGTTTTAACATTGGAAAATGTTATGTGGGATGTTACATAGATTTCCCAAAGAGGTAAGTTTACAGACAAAGTGGGTTAAATCATGTGGATGAGTTGACAGTATAAATGTATCTACTGGTGAGTCAATAATATTTAATTATACTTTATTATTTATATTATATTTGTGTAATTATAACTATTCAGAAAGAATATGTTCTCGACATTTTCATAGTAGTGACTATTTTAAGCCACTAATTCAAAAAATGCTGGGATATTCACCGAAAAGTTCACAGAAACTGAAAGTCGATGCTGTACCATCTTTAAAAGTGGTATTTTTCACATTTATTATAATACAAATGTGTGTGTTTTGTTTGTACTGTTTAAAATAAATATTTATTTACTTAAATGTAGCCAGTATGTTTGAAAAGCCCTCGGACTTATAGCCGAACAGTGTCATTAACCCGTCACCGGTCGCGTGGGGTAAATAATCTCCAAGTTTATTTATAAGTACGGGTTCTTCCGTAATTATCTGTAATATAGTTTCGTAATTACGATTAGCTTATCAAAATCACATCATAATAACATAATGACATTTACTTCATCGAAAACTATTTTAGTTTGTTCGGTGCATGCGGGTCGAGGACAATTTATTTGTTTGGACAATATTTACCCCGCGCGACTGAAAATTAATTTATTATTTTACATTTTTTTTCAATTTAATTTTCTCTTGATTATTATTATAAAAAACATGGACGAAATTGAGAGACGGCGGATTGAGTGTCTATTAGAAAGCACAGAAGAAGATGATTTATTAGGAGGCTTTTCAAGTGCTGATAATGATAATAATACACCAACATATGAACCTCATGACCAAAATACGGATACAGAACAGTCAATTTCTAGTGCAAGTTCTATCGGAAATATTCCTAATGAATCAGATTCTGAATATTCCACAGATATAAAATACTAGATAGCTAACAAGGCATCGAACATTGAAGTTATCCGCCATATGCGTGTAGGTCAATGTTTACATAATTGTCTTATCAATACGACATGATAACAATCTGATGGTCAAAATACTATTTTATAAAAAAAATTTATTCTGTGCGAATAATATCATGTTATCATACAGTATTGATAAGATAGTTATGTAAAAATTGACCCACACGCATATGGTGGCTGACTTCAACATCGATTACCCTAATTTAGACAAGTTAGCTATCTAGTATTTTATATCTGTGGAATATTCGTACCATGAATCTGACGATGATTTACCTATATCTATGAGACGCAAATTTTTTATTGGAAAAGACGGAACAAAATGGAATAGAAAACCAAATGTTCGTGTAAGAATCGCGAATTATAATAAAGTTGTAACGGAACAAACATACACCACTGTGGTATTTGTCTCGAAATAAGTTACGACAAGCCGTATACAGGGCGTCCATCAGACGCACTCAGGCGTTAACAAATTAGCGCCCGATCACTTCGATACCCGGTCGCATATTAACATACTGTACATTGCTACACGACCGCTGTTCTCTGATTGGCCGATTCAAATTTGCACGGTTTTATTGAATAATTATTATCAAAAGTATACGATATCAGTTGCCGCGGTTTTACATAAAATATATTTAAAATTATAGGTACAACAATATGCAACACTAGAGTGGAGTTCAGTTTATAATTTATAAAAATTAGGCATACATGTTATTATGTCAAACAGAATACAAAAAAAAAAAAAAAAATTAATTAATTAATTAATTCCTTAACATTTTTGAAGATTAATAAATTAATATTTAGATTTAAACATAAAATTGATCCTATGTTTGAGATTTGAAATAATATTAACCTAACCTAACCTGCATTTTCCTAAGTCATTCATTAACAAAGTAAGAACTAGAATGTTCTGAATATGTTACTCAATCAAACATTAAAACTAAAGAAGACTGTAATTTGTGGGTTTCTGAATTTGGAAAATTAAATATAATGTTAAATGGAATGCTAGATCTTCTCGACCATGTGGGAAAAAAATTAATTGTTTGTAAGTATAATATTATAGTTACATTATACTAATCATAGAATATATTACATTTATGTAAAAGTGGTAAATACTCACAAATGTTCATAAAATATAATTGAGGGACATTAGGTATTGTATAATTTACAATTAATATAGTCAGTCTTTGAATTCAACACTTAATTTGTATGATTTAATAATAATTAATTATTAATTTGGTTGAGTTTAAATTATTAAGAAAATATAAATATAAATGTAATATATTTTTAGTACCTAAGGCAATATTATGAGGTGATCTATCCACTACTATCCTGTCATTATGCCTGTCAAACTAAAATATATCTATATAAAAGTGCATGTAATATATATAGGTATATTATATTATATACTTACATTTTTTATTTAATTGTTAACAAAAGTGTTTAATTACAATAAATAATAATACAATATTATTATTATTGTTGTTTTTGCGGTTGACTGTTGTTGTCATAATTATAATAATTATTAATTATTTTTTAAGTTGGGTGAGTCTTAAATTAAATGATTTATTAAAGTAGAAAATATTTTACACCAACCGTTAGGTAAATGCAATAGATATTGTAATATTTGTATTAATTCAGTAAAATCTATATTTTGGTAACACTAATTAATGATTATTATTATATTATATTATATGTTATAAATTATAATATGATATATATTGCTTACAAGTTGATGATATCAGGTACCTATGTTTTATATATAATATAGGTTAGGTATATAGGCTATTATTTATATATATATACTATATTTTAATTTGTGGCTATAATAAAACAAGTACCTATAATAATTATATTAATCAAAACCATATCATATTTTTCAATTTTATACTCTTACATGTATTTAGAGATATGAGATTTTTTAGTACTATATGAACTGTATAAATAGGTATGTCGTTAATATGTAATTATTAATTATATTTTTAATTTAACAAAGTTAATACATATTGTAGACTTTTATAATTTTGTATTTATATATAATTAACGCCAATCGGCTTTTATTGCAGTATTGACAAAAGTATTTTAACAAAACAAAATATTAAGGATACAATAAATGTATGTGTGAAAATAGGAATAAAATATATATACTTATACTTTTATGTATAATATATATAATAATATATACCTTTATATATTGTATACTTTTATATACTTACATTTTGGAATAAATGACTAGTTTAACCAACTTAACCAATTTTTTACTTTGTTAATATAATATAGGAAAATAAAAGTTAAGTTTCAAGTCAAAAGTAGCTTAATTTGAACTTGAAGAAGTTGCAAGATAAATAGAAAAAAAAGTTACAAATAGTTAAAAATCAGTTAAATTTATTTTAAACCTAAGTACCTAACATAGATCTTAAATTTTGTTTTATATACCTATTTATTAAGTAATTAATTAGCTACCGTACATTATATTACTGTATTTGTAATTAACTATTATTTTACCTACGACCTATTCAAATGTGATGGTAAAACAAATATTTTGTATCAATATTATTTAAATAACATGATTTACAGGGTTCATTAAGATAAATGTAACTTATAACATGCCCAAAAAATGTAGTAATTGAAAAATAACTTAACTTATGCTTTGTTTTGTGGACCACTTTAGGTACACTAGTAAATACATTTGTATTTATTTAATCATAGTTCATTCTACATTCTTTAGAAATGTCTTCCATCTCAATTCAAACCATAAAATTGTCTTATTATTATAACTTTTTTTAAATTCTTATAACAATTATTTACTGTCAAGATAACATAAATTAAATTAAATTACAAATTAACAAAGAATTTATTAATTTTTACATATTTGGAGATAAAAATGTATAGTAACTGTTTTAAATTACATAAACAATTTATTTTGAATAAAGAATAATTTAAAATATATACCTAATATATTAAGTATTAGGTATATGATTATATTTATATAATATTTCATTGATAATTCTTATAGTTTGAAAAAATAATAAACTCATAATATATTTAATGATTGTGCCCATGTGATTTTGCATTAGGCACATTCAATTGAACATTAGCACCAAGATTTCTTTTTCTTTTTTTGGTGTTAATTTCACCATTTGCTGGACGGCCTGATGGTAGACGTTTACTTCCTTTCGTAACTCTGGGTAATCTCCTTGCAATAGATGTTGGCTGGACTCTAATTTTTGCACCAGGTCTTTTTCGCAAAGCCACAGCTGAATTTCCAGCAGTATGTAAAAACGATTGCCACTGTCCTTCGGTTGTTATCTTCTTCAAACGAGACTCTAAAATATTCAACCCTGCAGTGGATGAGCCAAACATTGAGTCTTTAGATTTGATTAAATCTATAATACAATGTATTGATTTATTTTTTGTCTCTTTATTTTCTATAATTTCAGAATCATTTGGTACATTATTATCTTTATGATGTGAATAATCTTGCTCATTAGTATTAGAATAATTTAGAAAATCAGTACTTTCTTTTGGTGCATCAATTTGAGAACAATTATTTAAGGATAAAAATGACTGGAAGAAATCTGGTGAGATAGAAACATTCCCCTGGGCTAAAATAGCAATTTCGTATCTATCTTTTGGGGTAACTGGAGGGAAACTTTTTGAAATTACATCAAAATGAATATAAACAGCGCACTGATGTTTACAAAATTTACCAAATTTACCAGAAAGGCATGAACAACAACCTCCCATAATGTTTACTTCATAAGTACATGAAGAATCTTTTTCACTCTGTACACAATACTCATATTTTGATTTAGATACTATATGAGCTTTTTGTATTATACTTGCTTTTTTTATTAATGAATCTAAAAAGATTCTAGCAGTTCTATTTTTAGTGTGTCTACAATTAGCAAAAGCCATTAAGCGCCTACAATAATGATCTTCTAATACTGTGCATGTGAAATCTAATAAAGCTACGACATTGTATGCTTTTACTCTTGAAAGAACAGTGTCTTTAAAAATTCGAACAGTAATTTCAGAATAGTTATTTGTGTGATGACCTTTAGTTGATTCATCACGCCACGCCAAACACCATTTGTGTCTTGTTTGCCAATGTTCATTTAAATATCTTGACCAATTTGGAAATTCAGAGTTTTTAATACTTTCATTAAAACATTTCTCTGAAGAATGAACTGTATCAGCATATAAAATAGATTGAAAACTCTTCATAATTATTGGTCGCTTCTCTTTCGGTATGCTATTCTTTGAGTCCCAGACCCAACGCCAAACAGCCTGACAAACATGGAAAATGCATAGTAAATGGATACTATTCGGCCAGTTGTTTTCAATTGCATTTATTTCAGCTGCAGCATTATCAGTTATAAAGATTTTTGGCCAACCAACACCACCGAAGCAATTTATACCACATTCTTTTAGTAACTGAAATCCAGTGTTATATGCTGAATATGTCTGACCTATTAATTTATTAAATAAGGATCTAAGCTAACTGAAATTAATTTATAGATAGATAAAATTAATTTTTAATATACCTTTTGTAATAATTATTGCTAATGGAACTGCACCTGCAGCACACGGAGTAAGCATAAATGTTATAGAATAATTGTCTGCATCACAGGCAGATGTACTGTCTACAAATACAATGTTACTAGATGACTTTAATGAATGGGCTCGTTGCATAAGTGGGGTAATAATAACTAATGCAAATGGATCTTCTTTGAACTTAACTATTACATTCCTCTCTTTGTATACATCAATCTTTTGTATTATTTTCTAGAAAAAAATATCATAAGTAATATCATAAGTTATTATTTCTTTAGATTTTATTTATTTTATTTTATTTTTATTTAATCTTCAAGAAGATAATGGGCCCCTTTTACTGGATGCCTAATTAAGTAGGATTGTATACATTTCAAATCAGAAAATGAAATAACTTTTTAGCTTTTTTTTAATATAGGTCAATTAGCTTATAATTTCTAACTACAGAAAGAGAAGAAGTCAGCTTTTTTTTAATTTTTCAAGAAAAACAAAAACAAAAGTTGTATGAAGTTTAATGATATAAGTTTGGAAATTTGGCATTCATTTTTAATCAATCATGTTAAATTAATATACTATATAGATCCATTAGAAAACCCCCAAAGATTTGTATTAATTTATTATTTAATTGATATGTGTCTTCTTTTTTTAGTAACTATAAAGCTAAACTAACCTTTTTATAATAAAAAATCTTAAAACCATACTTTTAATACAAGACCAAAGTAAAATATTTTATATATTCACAACATTCAGACATACTCTGAAGATGGAGCATGGATAAATCCAAAATATATTGTTATAACTCATAATAAATTGTCTATGAAATCTTCAACTACTTTCTTAAATTGTTAAATATTAATGTAATATGTATAAAATTACAAAAAATTACCTCAATCAAACCTGATCCAGACCGTGGACCTAAATTTTCCAACCTCCATTCATTGTGCCAATTTTGGACAGTTCTATAAGTTGGATTAATAGATCCATTAGCCAAGACTTCCAGTGAAAAATTTTCTTTTAATTCTAAAATGCGCTCATGACAATTAATTGCATCAGTTATGCCCATATTATCGTTAAAGTACTCGAAAAAGGTATTTTTAAGTATCTTATCTGCTGGTAAAAAGCGTAAAGTTTCAGCAGTGTCAATACTATGATTATGTTTATTTTTAATTCTTATTACACCATATAACCCATCCTGAAAAATAATTTTACTAAATGTATTTAATTAAATAATATATAAGTAAAATTTTCAAATAAGAGAATTATAATTATAAGTACTTATCAAGGTGGTGAGTATCTTAATAATGTATTTAAATAAGTAATAAGAAAAATATACAAATAACCAAACCTTAATATAGGGATCAACTTTTCGTGTAGAATGAGTATCTAATTTCACCATACATGTTACAGAAGCTAAACAGTTAGCATTTTTTGAGTTCCCTTTTTTATTTTCTTCTCTGGAAACTTTACGAAAGGAGCTATGCTGACATACAAACTTTTTCCTGGAAACAAATAATAAAAACGTAGGTACTAAAGATCTAAACTATTAAAAAATTATAACTCATTTAAAATCAGCATAGTATTGATAAATATTAAATTTATATTCTTGAGTTTTACTGCTTTGTAATTTTTGATTCAAAAAAAGACAAATTTGTTTAAGTATTTTACAGATTTATGATCATACACGAATAATCAAAAAATACTTATCAGTTACCTATCTACCACAATAAAAAAAAAATTTGGTCAAAAAAGTATATACAAAATACTTATGTTAATTAGGTATTTTTAGATTTTTCATTTTTTTTTATCAGAAATTGTAAAATCTTTATAAAGTTATAAAGATATTATATAACTAAATAAAACTATTTTCAAAATGTTTTTACCTAATCCATTAGGTGTATAAACTTGTAATCAATAAATATATTCAAACTAAAAAAAAATATTTTTTTTATTTAAAATCAAATACCCAGGTATACTTATTTTAAAGTAATGATACATATATTTTTTAAAAACTAAAAGTGCAAGAAACATAATAATATCAAATAAGTTATTGATTAAAATGTATAGCTTAAAATTATTAAATTAAAATGTCAAACTTACCTACTAATCAAATTGTATGTGGGTACCAAACTGTTTAAATTGGTAGTTATTAACGCAAATGGTTTTTTTAAATAAATATAAGCTAAGCATGATTATTTTTTTTACATATATTGTAATAGACAATATATTTAAGTATTTTATAAGAAAAGAGAATACCATTAGTTTATTTAAAAAAAAAAAAATAGGCTATTGAGAATTGATAAATTAAATTAAAAACTCAATTAAAAGGGTACCTGATATTTAGACTAATTATTATTGACTTTGTTCACTGTAAAAAATTATTGTTCTAAAAACAATGATAAAGAATAATCTATTTTAACTTCGAAAATGTAATAATCATATTAATATGGTTATTAATATTACTGAATTACTGGCCTATATAATTTCTATCCTTCATTTACTTGTAGACAATATTATATCATATTACAATAATAATCATTGATAAGTGTTACTGAAAAATAGATTTTACTGAATTCATGCCAATATTACAATATCAAAAAATCTAATATTAAAAATTTTAATTACATTTAAATAAAAAATGTAAATATATATAATATATATTGTATGCACTTTTATATTGATACATTTTAGTTTGACAGGCGTAATGACAGGATAGTGGTGGATAGATCACCTCATAATATTGCCTTACTAAAAATATATTACATTTATATTTATATTTTCTTAATAATTTAAACTCAACCAAATTAATAATTAATTATTATTAAATCATACAAATTAAGTGTTAAATTCAAAGACTGACTATATTAATTGTAAATTATACAATACCTAATGTCCCTGAATTATATTTTATGAACATTTGTGAGTATTTACCACTTTTACATAAATGTAATATATTCTCTGATTAGTATAATGTACCTATAATATTATACTTACGAACAATTCATTTTTTTCCCACATGGTCGAGAAGATCTAGCATTCCATTTAATATTATTTAATTTTCCAAATTCAGAAACCCACAAATTACATTCTTCTATAGATTTAATGTTTGATCGAATAACATATTCATAACATTCTAGTTCAGTTACTATTTTATTAATGAACGACTTAGGCAAATGGAGATTCATTTTGTAAATTATAATGGTAATTTTTTATAATTAAAAACCGTACTGTCCGTAGTCCGTACAAGCAACAACCCATTGACGCAATGTGATAACATTACAATTATTATGTAAAACCGCGGCAACTGATATCGTATACTTTTGATAATAATTATTCAATAAAACCGCGCAAATTTAAATCGGCCAATCAGAGATCAGCGGTCGTGTAGCAATGTACAGTATGTTAATATGCTACCCGGTCACTAATCCGGGGGGGGGGGGGAATTGATACGGCACAAACCACAACACATAAAACGGCCGTCTTCACGGCCACCAAATACTACACTATGGCAAAGTAAAGTAATTTCAACAATAGCAGATGTTAGATACAAACAATCACTTTTTACCAAAGTATGGATTACAAAAATGCCGAGTAAAAATGACATCGATGATACCTAACAGTCCATAAGATCGATGTCACATTCATCCGTCAAACCAAAGACAACCACCAATGAGAATAGCGCTCGGAACGGTCAACTCGTATATATACGGGTACGTTTTACCGACCGAGCGAGCAACTCTTTCAACCTTCAAAACATCAAGACTTCAGAAATCAACACACTCTGCCGTCTATTGAAGGATAATAGGAGAACGACCGACACCGAAGAGGAACGCCGCGACCGCCACAACCGGACACCGCTAGTGAAGACTGACCCAAGCTCGACCGGTTCAGTCCAGACCATCGGACGGCGACATAACCAGCCGCCGACAACGCCGACGGATCAAGACAGTGGAGCGGGGCTGACCAGACACAAAGTGGCGATACGAACTCTTGGCTACCAACCATCGTCCAAGGAGCCGACGACCATCCTCAAGTCCACCAACCAACCCGGAGTGCTTCAAAGAGGAGTCAAAGAACCACGCCTCAGCCCGTATACTCGGTGGAAATTTAAACGGTCCTTTTCAGGGCCACCCACGACGCACAGTCAGTCCCCCCAAGCGCGCCTGCCTAGGCCACGCTTTCCGCCCGGGCCTAGTGATCAACGCCACTTTTTCGAGCGGGCTGATCATAGCCACCCGGGTCGTCCCGATAATGTATAATAAAAACATAATATACCCGGTTGTGTAAGACCACCTCGTACCCGTATCAGATAGTCACGGGAACGCGAGTAGTCAAAACCCTCTTATTTGTAAATATATTTTTATGTAAAATAAATTGAGTAATTACACAAGAACCCACTTGTATAAATTATTAAAGTGACGGAGTATCGGCCCCGATAGCTCCGTTACAAAGTTACAGAAAAATCAGGAGTTAAACTTATAGCTAAAAGTGTGGATGGAGTGTTGGATGTTATTTTTTTCAAATGATATGTTAGAGCATATAGTAAAAATGACGAATATATATATTGAAAAAGTTCGACCTAATTACAATAGAGAAAGAGCTGCTTCGGAAACATGTGTTCGCGAAATCAAAGCACTTTTGGGCATATTATATACAATTGGTAAGTTAATTTTTTTCAAAAAAATTTAAAAATTGTTTATCATTTATTATTTTATTTTAGGAGCAATAAAATGTAATCATAGATCCACTGAGGATCTTTGGAAAATAGATGGGTGTGGAGTAGATATTTTAGCATGTGTTATGTCGGAGCATAGATTCCGTTTTTTACTTCGTTGTATACGATTCGATGATATCCGAGGAAGGGACATAAGAAAAAAAATTGATGATATGACTCATATTCGACATATATTTGATTTATTTGTAAATAATTGTAAAAATACATATACTGTTTCCGAATACTTCACGATTGACGAAAAATTACAATCATTCAGAGGTCATTGTTCTTTTAGAGTATATATTATGCCAAATAAGCCCGCAAAATATGGACTAAAAATGTTTGCTTTAGTAGATAGTATTAATTATTACACACTCAATATCGAACTTTATGCTGGTAAACAACCAGATGGTCCATTTTTAGTTGATAATGCTGCATCTTGCGTTGTAAAACGATTAGCAAACCCAATTTTGAATACTGGTAGAAATATTACATTTGACAATTGGTTTACTAGTTTTCCATTAGCAGATTATTTACTCCAAAATAAAACAACTATGGTAGGCACAGTTCGAAAAAATAAAAGAGAAATCCCTCCTGAATTTCTCATTTCAAAAGGTCGTGACTTATATTCGTAATATTTTGGTTTTTCAAAAAATAAATCAATCGTGTCGTATAAAGCTAAATCAAATAAAATAGTTTTGATAGCTTCGACAATGCACAATGATAAGGCTATTGATATGAATACTGGAGAAAAATTAAAGCCAGAAATGATAACGTTTTAAAATTCGACCAAAAGTGGTGTAGATACTATGGATTGGATGACTGAAAACTACAGTGTGGCAAGACATAGTGCTCGTTGGCCTCTTACAGTATTTTATTCTCTACTCAATATCGGAGGACTAAATTCAATGATTGTGTACCAAGAAAATACGCAAGTAAAGAAAACACGTTTAGAATTTTTGAAATCATTGGGTAGGCAACTTATGGAGGATCAACTAAAGTACAGAATGACAATTAGCAGTCTGCCCAGACCACTAAAAACAAGACTTCAAAATTATGTTACGGTAGTAAAACATTTTTTTTTAATTAATTAATTTTTTTTTTTAATTTATTTATATTATAGATTGAAAGAGAAGTGCTCCCTCAAAAGTTGAGAAGTTCGAACCGATGTGCTTTTTGTGAAAGAGCGAAAGACAAAAAAACCACTAAAGTGTGCACCAATTGCATAAAGCCTATATGTAGAGATCACTTGATAGAAATTTGCCCAGATTGTTTTACATTATAATAGTATTGTATAACCTTACAGTTTTTATTATTTTTTAATTTTTATTCATTAAACTAAAGACCCATATGCAATTCAAATTGTATAATTATTTATGTATATTAATTATAAGTATTGTTAGTTATAAAATACCAACTTAAAGTAATATTTTAAGTATATTTCATATTATGGAAAATTTTTACCCCGCGCGACCAAAAATAAAAAAAAAAAGTGACGGGTTAATGTCACCACAATTTACAGTAGAACCATCTTCTAACACAATGGTTTCAAATGTATGCAACTAATAAAATTATAATAAAAAAAAAAATTTAATTTATTATATTATGAAAATCATACTTTTATTTTATATTTTATATATAATATTCTAATTGGTTTTTTTGATGAAATGAAGATTTCTGGAGAACATAAAATTTCAAAGCGGCTTAACTTTAATGTTGATGACAATTTAAACATGGATTTCTGCAGCACTGTAAAATAATAAAATAAAATATGTGTATTTCTCAATTAAATTTAACAAATCAATTAATTTTAGACAATGGATGAATTGAATAATGATCGCTTACTTGCCACTTCATTATGTGAAGAAATTGAAATTGTCAATCCCGAAGAAGATATTAGTTGTACCGATGCAAGCACTCAAACCAATAACGTACAACTTGTTGATACTAGTTCACAATGTGATGATAATGGAACTGAAGTTTTACAGTAAAGAATACAAATTTTGTTATTTAGGAAATAATATACACAATTAATTTTTAGATTACAGGCTGTTTTGTTTGAGATGCATAGTAAACTAAAAAAAGAAAAAGAATTAAATGCCACATTGAAAAATACAATAAAATTACAACAAGATACCATTAAGTCATTTGAAAATAATAATAACAACCAAAATCTTGAAATTAAATTAAATAAAGTGTTATCTGGTATGTTCACCAATACTCAAATAAAATTACTAATGGAGCCAAAAAAGAAAGTATACAAGTGGACAGAAGACGATATTGCCAGTGCAATTACCTTAAGAAGTTTATCGCCTAAGACATATAAATACCTAAGAAACGAAAAAAAATATCCTTTACCAGGTTACAAGACTAATAAACTTTCAATTAACAAATCCTTTTGATCTAAAATGTACACTTATTTTTTAAAAATAATTTAGGACTTTCTACTTTAAGAGGATGGGCTGGCCGGTTTCACATTGAACAAGGAATTTTGTTTTCAATATTAAACATTATGAAGCATAAAAGTAAACACATTATGGACAATAGAATATAAATTGATTTAGGTACATATTTATTTATAATTTTTGCAATAGGTACCTTAATGTCAGCTAGAGATAAAATAACAATATTGGCCTTTGATGAGACATACTTGTCCCAAAAGATTTGTTATGACAAAAAATATGAGCAGTTCATTGGACCACATAAATGTGTGCAGACTTTAGTAGCAAGAGGTATAACACTTATATTACGACTTGATTTTTCAATAAAATAAATTTAAAAAAAAATAAAATCTGCGGTAACTTATAATACTAGGTCTAATTTCATCTTGGCGGCAACCAATATACTACCAATTTGATACACAAATGACTAAAGAAATACTGTTCAATATAATACGTCAGTTAAATGAAATCGGTTTTGATGTGACGGGTGTAGTAAGTGACATGGGTTCAACAAATAGAAAACTGTGGAATGAATTGGATAGTTCTATTGAGAAACCTTACTTTATACAGCCAGAAAGTGAAACAAAGCGAGTACACATTTTTGCGGATGTTCCACACTTACTTAAATTAATCCGCAACCATTTTGTTAATAGGTAAAAACAAAATATACTTTATAATAATTGATGTCTGCTCACTCTTCAATTGTTAAAAATTATTTTTATTTTAGTGGATTTTTGGTTAATGGGAAATTTATACATAAAGGCGTATTGGAAAATTTATTAAAATTAAATAAAAATCATTTTAAATTGGCTCATAAAATTACCGAGAACCACATAAATGTGCCACAAGCAAAAAAACAAAATGTTAGATTTGCTGCACAATTATTATCTAACACTGTAGCAAAGGCTATTTTATTCTGTGGTGAAAATTTTGAAATTGACTACACTTATTGGAAAGAGGTTTGTAATTATCTAACATTGCACTATGTCTTGGCATATTATATAAGTTATTATTTTTGTTTTGTTAATAATTTTTTTTAAGGCATCTGAAGTTATTCAATTAATAAACGATTGGTTTGACTTATTAAACACCCAATTTCCAGTTGATAAATTTGTGAAAAGTTATGGTATGGACCTGGAGAAACAAAATAAACTCTTAAAAAAAATGGACGAATTTATAATGAATATGAGAGTTTATGGACATAAATCTATGTTACCTTTTCAAAAAGGTTATTCAATTTATTTATTTATTCACACATAGAGTATAATAATCTAATATAAGTATATATAAATATAAATATAACATGTTCAATTGATTTTTGGTAAAAGTAAATCGGTTATTTTATATAAATTTAATTAATTCCACTTTAGGTATTTTGTACACTAATGAATCGTTAAGGAATTTTTTAGCAGACTTAAAATTGGACTACTCTGATATACATTATTTGATAAAGAGACGAGTGAATCAAGATTTGTTAGAGAACCTATTTAGCTACTTAAAAGGAATGAATGGAGCTAACACACACTTGACCCCTCTTGACTTTAAACATTGGTAAACATTTAATTTTATTACATTAAAATTTAATTTTTATTCAAACTCATCTTTATATTATTATTTCAACAGTCTTAAATGGTATCTTTTGGGCAAACATGCATATGTGGCATTTACAGAAGGTAGGAATACAGAGGATACAAATGGAGAAAGATTAGTTGACACTGAATGTCTTTCGTCTTCAGTCTTAAAAAAATGTGAAATTTACAGTGAAGAACTATCCGAGGTCAATTCAATTGATGGTGTAGGTAGGGGTAAAGTTTCCCAAGAACAAATGGATCTTCTAAAATGTTTTGAAGAGCAGGTATCTAAAAATTACATATATATAATATATTGTTATCTTATCTTAATAGTAAATATGATATATTGATAATCACAATTTATCCATCACTGTAGTTTAACATACCAGAAAAAAGCATAGAGAACGAGGCACAAGAATATGTCGTTGGCTATGTTGCAAAACGTTTTATATCTAAATATCCTAATTTAGGATATAAAACTGAAAAGTTGCATTACAATGAAGCTGCGTCTAGCTGGATACAAATAATGTCTAACGGCCATTTGATAACCCCATCAAATGAACTTCTGTTGGCGGCAAAATATATGGAAGATGAATTTCAAAAACTGCATGGTAACAATATTAATAGAAGCAGTAATATAATGGAACAACTATTTAACACTGTTAAACAATTATATAGTTTACCTGATGAAGTGATCAAATGTTTGGTTAGGACTAGAACGTTTATTCGCTTCAATGCATTGAATAAGGCAATTGAACATGATATGCCTAAAAATATATCAACACAAAATAAAATTAGAAAATTTATGGTATAATCAAATGTGTATACTTTTTTATTGTTTTGTATTGGGTAATTTGGTTTTCAAATAATTAGAGCTATAGAATATGAACAATAAGGTAAGCAAAAAGGTAAGTATAAAACCCAGTAACCATATTATATTTATATCATACCAGTAACTTAACAATCACTTAAAGAAACATGAATAATAATAAATTACCCTTCAATAGTATAGATTACAGCATTACCTTTTCAAATGTTTGCCATTCAAATTGCTGAAAATTATCCAATTCTAATGTATTTTACTACAATTATTATTATTATACTAAATAGTATGAATAATGAATGCATTAGGATAAAATCATCTGGTTAATTTATCATGGGATATGTAAATGAAAATAATTATCACATATAATATTTTAACAGTAAATGTAAGCAAGTCTATACTTTTAACATTAAACTAGACAAGGTAAGTACATTAATTTTTAATTACAATTACAAAGTAATTAAAAAATATAAATAAAAATCATTCAAAACTTAACTGATGTTAATAGTTAATACAACCATGATATAAGATATTTAGATAAAATAAATAATAAGTGATAACAACGTATTATGATAACAGCCGACGGACCGAATGACGTAGACACCATGCGCAGAGCTCTGTTGCTGTCATACCATGTTAATTATATCATGGATCTGACTTTAGGCCAAACTAGGCTTGGGTCGCTTTTGGGTCCCATGGTTGATGTAAACAACTTCCATGAATTTTCTTTGTTTCTTTTTACTAAGTAGCGCGTTTTTGCTCGAAGTTGTTTCAGTAGGATATGGTCGTCAATATTGCCTGTTTTTATGAATATTTTTAATGCTTTGTTTTTGTTTTGGATAGCAAGTTTGATTTCTTGGTTCCACCAGGGAACTTTGGAGTTTTTTGAGTTGGAATTTGTTTTGCCTATTGATAAGTTAGCTGCAGTTATAATTGTGTTTGTTATGTGAGAGACATCATTGCTGATAGGATTGTCTGGTGGTGGGGGATTAGAATTTAAGTATATTTCAACCATCTGTGAAAAGAGATTCCAATTGGTGTTTTTGAGTTTCTATCTGGGGGGTGATTTGTTTAATGGAGCTTTACTAGAGAATAAGTTAATTTTTATTGGAATATGGTCACTATCGTAAATTTCAGGTAACGTTGACCAATTTATACGTTGGGCCAAGGAGGTGCTACACATAGATAAGTCAATCGTAGAGAATTTACCATTGGCTGAATTTAGACGGGTGGGTTCTCTATTGTTGAGCAGGATAATGTTGTCCATTTCGGCAATTTTTTCAATTTGTTTCCCTCTGTCGTCGGTTTTATCAGATCCCCAGTATGCACTGTGACTGTTGAAATCCCCGATTAGTAGGAAGGGGGTTGGAAGTTGAAGAATTATGTTTTCAATGTCGGATGCATAACATTTTTTTTGGTTTGGTATGTAAATATTGCAGAGGGTAATTTTAGTCTCTAGTTGAATGGAAATAGCGACCACTTCCAGCGTAGATTGTACTGGTACCCGTGAGCTTGGATATTCTGAACGAGCCAAAATAGCGACCCCTCCACTGGCTCGGAGACAGTCTGTCCTGTTAGTGATGTAAATGTTAAAGTTATTAATGTTGGGGGTAAAGTTGTCATTAAGGTTTGTTTCTTGGAGACATATAATAGTTGGATTGTGGTTTTGGATGAATATTTTAATGTCATTTAGCTTTTTTACAAAGCTGTTTATGTTCCATTGAATTATGTTTATACTCATTATGGGTTTCAATTCTGGGTGGGTGGAGGTGAAGGTGCTGCTTGAAACAGAAGGTGAGATAATTTTGTAAGTTTAGATTTAGTGTTCCGATCCTTTATTTCTTTTTTTGACTTCTTCAATTAGGTCCATAAGTACAATATTATCTATATTGGCTTCTTCGCATAGTGAGTTTATATTGATCGATTTGTTTGTAAAATTTTCGAGAATATATTTGAACTGGATAAAAGTTATAGGTGTTTCTAGTTTGGAATAGAAAAGCTCCTCTGCTGGTTGTAACGCTATATCTATTTTACTAGCCTCAGTCTGAGTTATTATCAGTGAGTTAGATCTAGAGGTGACTTTTGTTTTTTTTATCGGGCTGCGCGATAGGAAAATTACCACTTGAGGCCGTTGGAGGGGTGGGGGACATTGGTGAATTTGTGTCTGATAAAGGTCTCTTGATATGGTTATAGGTTGAGTTTTCGATTGGATTTTGGGTTATTATATTACAATTGAAAATATTTTTGTAGTCGGGGGTTATGGTTTCATCTTGTTTTCCTTTATGTTGGTCCGAGTGATTTTGAAGGTTGGTTTCATCAAATGTTGAAGAATCTGGAGGTTGTACTTCTTCCAGAAAGGATGTAGGGTGTTCATCAAATGTGATATCTTGATTTGGCATCGTTTGGGGCGGTTTGTGTGGTTGTATGTATTGCGGATTGTCTGGAGATGTGTGTTTTTTGCATGATGCAGTAGTGTGTCCGACTCCTTTACATAAGAAGCAGATGATCTTGTCGTCAGTGAAAAATATTCGAAATAATGTTTGGTTGTTATTGATGACTAAAGAGCCGGGTAGTTTGTTTATGTCTTCTTGTTTGATAAACATTTGTCGACGAAAGCTCCGTATGTATTCGAAGCCTTCAATGTTTATTCCGGCTTTTATGTGATTAATTTGGCGATTATCGGGGAAGCCATAGACGAGGTAGACGGAGATTTGATGTGATGAGAGGTAGTGGTAGGGGGTTTCGTTATGTTGTTGTTGTTTTTAAATACGACATTTGAGTTTGACTTTGTGTTTTGTTTTGAGTTTGATGCGATGTTCGCAGGAGTAACTTTAATTGTATTTTTGTTTGCGTTTTTAAGAATTGTTGGGATATTCTTTCTGTATGGAGATTTTGTTATAGGCAGACTGCCTGTCTTATCTTTATTATTCATTACGAAGTTTGGTCGATATTAAATAATATTTAAAACATATTACCTGTTTATCGGCCGTCGGCGTAGATAACGGAGCACTATACTGGTATCGGAAGCTATATAAATGCGCACAATTTCGAGAGCTACACACGTGCTTAACTGTCGGTGGTCAAACACGTACTGCTGTTATTTTTATACGTTTACTATTATTAGTATGTAGATTATTAGTTATTGAGCTATAAATTGAATCTGAAATTAGTGTATACCAATGTATTAAATCGATCATTAGCATTTTTTTTTTTTTTGCGAAATTACATTGGGGTAATATAATAACAGTAAACATATTTTTATCAACCAAAAATCCAACAGTTACACTTTTCTTGTTAAGAGGTCGTATATCGATTACTGACTTTGAAACAACAATGGTGTAATATACTGGTGGCTCTGATAGCTACTAGTATATTAACAGTTGCAGGTAGCTAGACCGTTTACTGTGAAGATGAGGTAGTAGTTGAATAATTATAACACAAATGCCAAATTATACTGTTGTTTATTAAAGTTCCAACAATCACAATGGTGCTAAGTTCAAAATGACAATCGTTATACCACAGAACATTATAGAAGCGAAACTCGATCAGATGATTGGGGTATTGGTTCCCTATGATCTGAAGTCTGAACCTACGAAAAATATGGGATTGGTTCCCGCACCAACATGATGTTAGACCCGTATATTAAGAATTGGTTCCAAGACTATAGCGGGATACGGGACGCGGGGTCGGCACTAAGGCGGGATACGGGGCGCGGGGTTTTCACGTATGCCACGCCCTCCTGAAGACCGTGTTCAAGGCCGCAATCGCCTGGTTCGGCCAACGCACGGAGTTTCGTACCCCTGGTTATACGGAGCTGTGTGAAGGTGCTTGCAGTAGCGTTGAGTGGAACGTCTGAATACAGGCCGTTTCGGGGTCCCTCTTATAGTTCGGTCCCCGCTCCCCTTGCCTAGTGATACGGTATCTTTGTTCTAACGGATGTGGTCTATGTGGCCATCGACCTAACTACTCATTTGCGAAATTGCTAATCTATTTCTCGCATTATTAACATGTATCGTATGCTAATTTGTGAACTGTCAATTCAATAAATTAATCATACTTTTTTTTTATATTAAATTTCCTTTTAATATAAAGCTATCGCATATATCATGCCCGCTTATTCTACATGATTGCAAAACCCGCGCTGGCCTATTGTGGTATTATTTCAACCAGCAAGGTTAATTAGTTTTTGTTTAATATATCTGCCCATTACCTATCTACAGTATATTATGTTAAGTATGCTACCTGTCGAAACTTCAAATGTTGCGTAGTAACTTGCTTACTACATCTCCCCCTTTAAAAGATCATTTTTATCGTCTAAACGAGAAAAATTAACTCAATTTAACTTTTTGTTGATTTCCGTTACTTCAAGCACCTTCCTATAGGAAAATTTTACATACATTAATTATTACATTTTTATGTTTACAATTATATGATTTGGATACATCATTGTTTACGAAAATTTACAGTACAATATTATTATCAACAAAAAAATATAAAGTACAATCCACGATAATATATTCTTTTGATATTATATGTGTTTACAATATTGGCATTCTATTGCTGTTAAGTTATTACAATATAAATTTAATTATTATTTGTGTTAGTATTCTCTATGTTTAACAATATATATTTTTTTTTCAATCATAATCTTATCCTAGTGTTAGTTTATTGATATGATATGAATTCTTAATAATATACAATATATTCTTTTTCATGCAATATATATATCATATTAATACGTATTTTCCCAACACCATGTTAATAATCATAGTTCCTTTATTTATTACGTTTATCTTTTATTATTCTTATAAAATTTATTCTTAAATTTTCCTTTTTTTTTTTCTATAATATATATATTTCCCATAACTTTATCATTATCTAACATAATATACTTCCTAATTATCATTTGTCTTTATCTATTTTACCACAGTTCCAGACCAGCAATAGACTATCCAATTAAAGTTGTATTTCTGGTCCAGTCCAGCATTAAAATGATTTTATTCTACTGTAATCGCTGCATTTGTTTTGCATCTTGTTAATTGGAATCCTTAGCGTTCATTGTGCTATTTAATCAAAGTACCAATTTACGCTAATGACTAAATTAACAAGACTTTATTCATATAATATTTTCTTATTGAGATTTTTATTCATTCGATCCGTTGATGATCGTGTTCAAGAGTCCATTCTTATCATGACTTTAAACCTACCACCAACAGATCAAATGCTTTCTTTCTTTTCTTTAATTCTTCCTATCAGTATTTCAATCCGTCCGGAATATGATAACATGCCAAAGATCGTCATTCAATAACATTAGATCATTATGCACCGTATCACATATCGAATCGACTTTAAAAATTTTTGATTTCGATTGTTTTTCTATCTTGTTCGGGATATAATATCATGCCATAATCACGACTCACTTTTTTTTGATTATATGACACAATATTATACTCCGACTAGATTTTTTTTTTTTTATTGAAAAGAGGCTTCAACAACTAAGGTTATTAGCCTTGTAAGTGTTACATAGTGAGTGTTACATTAATTTTGAATTATAAAATACAAGTTGTAGCATATGAATATTTTGAGACATATAAAATTTTCATAATGTACATGATGAAAATAATGATTTATAAGTTATTTATAATATTAATTTTTGTGAGGAAATTTAATGTTTTTGTGCTGTAGTCTTAATTTGGTGCTTCTTCTAGGTTGCCTGGTATCGATAGTGTGTTTCGTATGTTTTGGAATGATGGGCAGTCTTGGATAATATGCTGTATGGATAGGTTTTCATGGCATTCTTTGCAAATAGGTGGTGGGTCTTTACTTATTAGGAAAGCATGTGTCAGAAAAGAATGTCCAATTCTAAGTCTGGTTAGGGCAACTTCGTGTCGTCTGCTTAGGTTTTGCGGGATGTGCATTTTGCACTTTTTTGTGCATTTTTTAATCTTTTTAAATTTATTGGAAGGTGAAACGGAATCCCAGTGGCTTTGCCATACCATGTTTGTTTTTTGTCTAATTGATAGTATTATGTCATTAACTGGGATGTCAGTGATTGTAGGGAGGGCGATTGTTTTGGTTGCTTTATCTGCTGACATCACACATTTATCACTCCGACTAGAGTTTAAATTCAATATTCCTATTTATCTGTAATTTATAGAATTTATCTGTATTACCATATTATAATCATATTAAAATGTTATTTACAACTTCCTATTTATATATAAAAGTTTTAATTTTTTTTCAATTTTTACATTTATTTCAAGCTGTGGATTAGTTGCTGTTGAATAGCCCCAGTTATCGGACTCATAGTATTATCATTAATTTATTACTTTAATACTACAAATAATATTTCCATCATATCATAACATCTTAGATAAGTGTTTTAAGATTTGAACTTTAAATTATTCGAAATTTTTTTTATGAAATTTGCGTAACCCTGCCTGCCAACCAATGTATTAAAAATACATTTGGATAGCCTCACGTCCGTTTTTGGGTCGTGAGCGTATGTTATTTTATGCTTTTTCGTACACACGAGTCCATGGGCTTCCGTCAAATTTAAAGTTCTACCATTTTTTCTAAAATATCCTACATCGTGCTCAAAAATAATTTCTTTTGTCTTATGTTCTTTTACCTCATCGAATTGGACTGTAAAATTTCCTGTAAAATACTTATCGTAACATGTTATGTTTAAAATTTCAAATTCTAAGTTCAATCTTTTTAAAACATTTCTGTCGGAATTTCCATTCCATAATACTACTATGTTCCGTTTTCCTCCTTTTAAAATGTAATTTTCTATATATTCTGGTGTTAAATTATTTAATTTGCTATTCAAACTTTTATCCAGCTGCATCAGACATGCCGTCCTTGTCACCTCCTTACAGCTGAACACCTGCATGATCTCCCTCTTAGCCAACAGTAATTCATGAACTTTCATCTCTCTTACTCGTTCATGAAGTGGCCAGAGTAGCGGTCTCCCTTCTAGTTTTCTTATCTTACATTTTTCCAAACTGTTTGAAATGGCGCCAGATATTAATACCATACTGGTTCTGTTTATTGGAGAGAACTGAAAATCCAATATGACGAACTTTATGTCCCTTTTTAATTCAAATTCGTTAATATAGTTCAATATAATTAATAACATTATTATTATCCTTATTCTAAACCTAATTATTTTGTATTACTATTCTATCTTAGAATTGTTAATAATTATTTAACATGCTGCTTATTATATAATATATGTTAATTTATTATATTACAAATTATTTTAATTGTGGAGGGTATATCCTCCCCTTCGACTAGGTTTCGTTCGTCTACTTCATCTACTTTTGGTTTTCTATTATCGCACTTTGTTCTAAATCTAGGTTTTCTCATTTGTATCGTTTCTTAATGCGGTTGTCTTAACGATGTCAACCTGCACTTATGTTATATAAATAAATATTATTAACATTATCGAGAATAATATTAATCCTAATGTCAAATATAACAAATAGTTACGAGTGTTGCCTACAGTTTCTTGTCCTGTTTGTTTTATTATCTCGTTATCTATTTCGTTTTGTATAAAATCTAAAGAATGTGCTATTTCGTGAACTTTGTCCAAATTATGCGAATCTTTTTTAATTACCAATCTAGGTAAATTTATATCTTTTATTTTGCTAGGTATCGTAAAGACTATATTTCCCGATCCTATTTTTAGTAGGTATAAAATTTACGTAATATTTTGATCTTATGTCCTGTGTAGGACTTAGTATTATATCATTTCCGTATGCCCTACAGTCCGAATTAGTTAAACCTTGGTTTTCTATTCTCTGAATGTACGGTTCGGTGATATTCCGACACGTGATTGTCAACTTTTCGCCTTTTATCGTATATATCCATGTATTCGCATATTTTAACTTGAAAAAAATATCCTTTGTTAGTACTAATACGCCTGCTTCGCAAGTTAGACTTGGGTGTAATACTCCTGACCTAGCTGCTGTTATTATCGCGCCCAGAGACAGTCTCAAAAGAAAATTGCGATAATAATGACGTAAATATACCTTGTATTTTGTTTGACAAAACTAATGTTTCGAGAGTATTTGTTTTATTTATTAATTCTCCGATCGTCCCTTGTTTATTTACCAATTCCGTATATAACCTAGTTACTGCCCCAGACGTTGTACTTATACCTTTAATTGCAGATTTAACTACAGTTGTTTGGTCCTTAAGTATATGTAGCATACGTTCATTAGTTTTTTCTATTTTTCCTATCTCTTCCACCGATTCTTTTGCGCACTCTTCATCGCAAACCCCGAATAGCGTTTTCATTGCGGACCCTACGAAATTAATGAGTCCTCGCCTTTTCCTACTATATATATGTGGTCGTTTCGCCCGAATGTTCTGCGTATCTACCTATTGATTCATACATTTTTTCACGTTGTAATGAAATTTCTTGAAACATTATTTTAAACATATCGTCTAATCCCGAGCACATTTCATATGCTGTCGCATTATTTTTACATATATTTGTCATTATATTTATTTCCGTTTTTAATTTATCGTGTCTACTGTCGTAATTTATTAACGGTAAATACGTGATTAACTGCCATGTAGCTCCTGTTAACCTTACCGTCCCGTAATTTTCGTAATACATCATTGTTTGGTTCCTAAATTCTTCCACTTTATACGGAAGTTGACTTTGACCTGCCGTTATTAAAAAGAACCTAAAATAATATATACATATATATTAGTTCGAATTTATGAATGACACTTATATTTCCTATACTCGTCTCTCGAATTTGGTCACTATGAATTTGGAACGTACTAATTGCTTAATAGTACTATCGACAGTAATACCTGGTGGTCGCATGTTCTTATAGAATATTGTCGCGACACCCACCGTGTTTCACCGTCAACCCCCCAAAAATCAACTAGTACCATCCATCATTCATTTTTTTTTTTCATATTTACTCACTGTCACTAAATCCTTCTAACTCGTCCATATTACTAATAAAACTATTCGGAACTATATCAAGTTCCTCTATACTACTATAATAACTATTTACTATATCTAATTCTTCCCTAACACTCATAATACTATTAACCCAGTGACCATTATTGTTACTTCCACCTAGGTTACTATTATTATTTTCAGTACCAGTATTATTATTTTCATTGCTACTTATTCTAGTGTTGCTTAGAGCTGCTGCCCTATTCATCTGTATTGCCCTAAAATCCGACCATGATTCTATATTTATTTCATCATTCAAATCATAAAATTCGTTTATAACCCTATCTGCTAGTGTTATATCGTATTCTAGTTGTTCCACATTATCCTCCTCCGTAAGGGCTGGTGGTTCCGTTCTATTAATTATAATACTTGCCACTCCTATTTTCTTTGATTGGACTCGCGCCAGCAGAGGTCTGTCTACGTCTAAATGGTACCGAAACTCCCCGTGCATCTTTATTACTGAATTCACCCAACAACCAATGACATAGCATTACCATTTCCTTCTCCGGAAATTTATCAGTACATGGACTTCCCAGCCCACCATACTGATAAGCTATTATTGTTCTGAATGAATGTTCTTTTCGATATATAAAGGGTTCCGTCCCTATATAACGACACACTTCCTTTTCCATTATGTACTCCCCCGCTTTTTTCAGTACCACTACCAACACGGTCAATGCTAGTTCGAATAGTGGCTCACTATTCCCACTGAATCGTACCAACATTTTTGTACCGTCCGTGTCCGTTTCCAAGACTTCGTATACATGTTCACCCCTACAATATATTATTGTATTAATAATTCTAGTTGCTACGCATACATTTTTAATCAACATTATATATTTTATATAATTACTATTATTATCATTTATACTAAATACTTCCACCAAATATGTTTTATTTAATTACAACTACAATTAATATAAATAATAATAAAAAAAAATATCCCTTATACCTTCCATAATTGTTACTATAATTTCGTAGTATCTACCCTCGGATCACAATCCAATTGTGTTTCCGTTATACCATAATTATCATATTTGTTCCTACATTTACACTTATATCCCATAATTCCTAATACGGTTATTGCTACTATTAGTACCAACATCATTAACCCTATTATTATACTATATTTCATTCTAATTGTTCTTTCTATTTCCGAATTTTCGTTATTGGTTATGGTTGAATTACCACTTTTAATTATTGTAATCTCCGGTTTTTTTCCTTTACGATATTGTTCAAAAAGCTGACCAACCTTTGTGGTACTAGGCGTTGTACTTGGTCTATTTTTAATCATCCGCCTTAAAATTTCATCAACATTAATTTTTTGTGTTGTAGGTTGTTGTAATTGACCCTTCGTAAAAATATTTATTTTTTTCTCTAACCCGTCCCCAGGTATTGTACCACCTCCGTTTTCCCTTCCGATTATATTAATTTCACACAACTCTTGTGTATAATATGTTCTAGGTTCATTTATTTTTTTTTGCATTTCAAGTCGTAATTCAAAAGCTTGACATTTTATTTGAATATTTCTGACCAAGTTACTTATGTAATCGAAATTAGGCAAGTAAAACTCGTCTCTTATTTCTATCGTAATGTTACCGGATTGTAATCCACCCTGAAATTTACTTTCTAAAAGTTTACCTATTATCTCCTCTTCTGATTCTACTTCTCCGAATGTCATTGAAATTAATAACCTATAATATTATTTCTTTATATAATCATCGTTGTTAAACAATATGTAGTGTTAATTTTCTGCCATGCTATATTAAGTTATATTAGTCTACTAGGAACCGAATCACCTGGTATTAATTACCCTATCAACAAAAACCAAAGAAAAAATTTTTACTTATTTTTATATAATTTTTTATTTATAAATATATCTTTAATATCTTATTCTCATACATTGATCTACATATTCAATTATTATATCCGGTTCTGGTACCTGATTTATATAACTGACTAGATCTAAATAACAATGTGTATTTCCCTCTTCTTTTCGACATATCGTATAAAAACGTTACTATGCTCTGCGTAATAGTTCTGATTTTGTCTTCCGAAAATGGATCATCTAACTGGTTATTTGCTACCTCTATATGTCCAGGTAAACATTCTGGTATGTTGCCCACTGATCTTGTATCATGATCCCCGTGTAAAATTGTTAGTTCCAATTTGGTACAAAATAATTTGCTTTTATTCCTATAATTAAAATATTCGGTTACTTAATCTTGATCACTAACACTACCTAATCAATATTAACTATAAATGTATATTCTATTTTTATTTATATTTTTTTTCCTAAAGTCTCGTGAGAGCTATTTCCTCGCGATTTCGTATTGTATTTAAACCCGTAAACTCTACCGTTCGAACTAGGTATCGATACCTTTCTTTTCTGAATATCCTATAATATTTCATTATAGTCGTCATTATTAATAGCATTATAACTACTATTACTCCTAGTATTCCGCATACTATATATAGGTAATTAGTTACACGTTCATCTGGAATACACACAACTGTTTGTTTATCATCATTAATATAGTAATTGTTTTGTGTTGTTCCGTGACTTATTATATGTTCACTTTCTGTGGTACTCCGGTGTTGTGTCGATGTTTCGTTCGTAATATTATTTAATTCGTAATTCGAGATTTTATGTCCGGTCCTTGCTGTTTGTGTAATATGCCCTACTGTGCTAGTTATGTTTTTATAATCATTATTGACTTCCGTGACGTTGAACTCGATTGACCTAGTTGTCGTTGCTTTGATAATTTTCGGCATTGATCTGTTATTGTTTACGATAAGTTTACTTTCATTAAAAAAAACTACATCGTATTCTATTGTATCCAATTTAATTTGCTCGGTTGTGCCATTCCTGTTTTGAATACAAACTGTACATATTTTTCCCTTGGAAAATATATTTCCCTCAGAGACCCAAGTGGTCTTCCGTTCTTTTTCCCCTAGTGTTTCGTATATTAATTGTATTGTTTCTATGTCAAGTTTGTCATTCTGAATTTGTGTTATATTTATTACATCACTCTGATAACTTGATACATCCGTTATTCCTATCTTACCCTCCATCACGTCGTAATATAAAGTTATTTTCGATTTTTTGTTAATTGTCTCTTCCTGACTTTTTTCCGAATGCTATTGTCAGTAATGAAATCCACCTATACATATACATTATCTTTTATTTTAAAAATTCCATCGCGAAAACATCCCAAGCCGACTTTTTTTTTTTATTATTTAGACTACAATTGTATTTAATATTTTATATCTATATTACGTTTACTATTATTTTTATAATTCTATTCCCGTTTTTTCATTTATTTATTTATTTACACATGTTATAATTTAATCTATTCGCGATGCTTTTAATCATTTTTAACGTCATCTTTGTCGTCGTTTTCGTAATATTTTTTCACGTCATTTTTAGTTACCGTTACTTTTTTACGATTCCGGGATATAACTACATTTTCCGAATCTAACAATTCTAATATTTCGTATGGTCCTTTCCAAAGTGAACTTAACTCTTTGGGTGTGATTTTTAAGTAAAATCATATCCCTAACTTCTAACTCTTCGGTTTTGACTACCGTTTATTTATTTATTTATTTTTTATTAATCGTTCCCGTGCTATTTGACTTGATTTTTGCAATTTTTCTTTTGAATCGTACACGTAATCATTGTAATTATACCTAGGTTCTGGACTTGATTTTAATTTAACTGGAATATTAATGTCCCTACCATATACTAACGCATAGGGTTGGTATTTCGTGGACGTGTGTTCCGTAGAATCGTATACAAACATTGCGTATGGTAAAAGTTCTCCCAATCGTCCAAACTTTTACTTACGTAGTGCCTTAAATATTCTGCTAATGTCTTATGTGAACGCTCAAGAGCACCGTTGGTCATTGGATGATAACCCGAAGTCTTAATTTTATTAATTTTTAACAACTTGCAGACGTCCGTAAAACATTTTGACAGGAACTCGGTTCCTTGGTCACTTAATATTTCGTCCGGAATCCCGTGGATACAGATAAAATTTGTTACGAACGCCTTTGCTACCACATTTGCCGTGTGACAAATCAAAGCTACCCCTAGACTAAACTTCGTTAAGTCACATTGCATTGTAAGTATATAGTCGTTTCCTAGACTTGTTGTAACTAACGGTCCTACAATGTCCAAAAATATTTTTTCAAATGGTCTTGTACTTGTCGTTGTTATAACCATAGGATACTGAATATGTTTATTAGTATTCTTATTAATTTGACAAGCTGTACAATTCTGTATATATTCCCTTACTTCCTGTTTCATATTCGGCCAGTTAAATTGTTTTTTTTATCTTTTTGACCGTCCTATTCAAGCCTCCATGCCCGCCTAATCTGGACGTGTGCATTTGCTTAAAAATTACTTTTTCTTCTTTACTAAATTCCAACTTGGTACAAATTATGATTTCCATACCCGTATTACGAAAAATGTATCTTATCATTGACCTTACCCTTGCTCAATCTAGTCCGTCTTGTTGTCCTAATTGGTTCATTGCTAACTTTATTAATTTTTTTTTTTTCACAAAAATGCTTAAGATTTAGTAATGCTATATGTACATTTTCGTACATTGCTAATTGTTTCTGTTTTGTTTTCGTAATTAGAAATATTATATATCTATCACCGCTTTTAAATTTTACGACGTTACCTAAATCTTTATTAGATTTTAATATTTTATCTCTACCTAATCGTTTCTTTAATTCATAATTAATACCTGATCTAAAATTATAATATTTTTCAATCTCAGATACGATATTGTATTCCGAAGGGCTGTTTATTAGATCCCCATGTACTTCCTTAACGTCTGTGGTAACACTGAACTCACTGAACTAGTCTTATCATATCATTTTGTTGTTTAAAAGTTAGTGATATTATACCATTCCTCTGTAGTCTGTACATAGTGTTCATATGTCATGTTTTGATTTAATTAAATAAATAATTATGTTGTTAATTAGTTTTTTAGTATTGTTATTTAATATTTAAAAAACACCACATGGCGCAGTCGGTATGTATTATCATTAATAATTAAATAGTGCAGATCAATGAGATAATGATGGATAACTTAAAGCCACCAAAGGAACTGAATATCCATGAAGCACATGTAGAATGGCCGAAATGGAAAAAGAATTTTAATATATACAAAGTGGCTGCTGGTATATCAAAAAAGAAAAAGGACGAACAACTAGCCATCTTCTTACATATAATAGGGGAGGACGCTAGAGAGGTGTTTGATACATTCGAGACAGAAGGAGAGGTAACAGAACTTGACAAAGCAATTGAACTCTTTGATTTGTTTTATAAGCAAAAAATTAATGAATGTGTCGAAGCATACAAATTTAACATTCGTGAACAGAAAGTAGGTGAAACTTTTGGAGAATATCTTTCTGCGCTAAGAAAATTAAGCGAGAACTGTAATTTTGGAACAATGAAGGACCGTCTTATTAGAGATCGAGTAGTGGCTGGCATTGTTGATAAAAAATTACAAGAAAAATTTCTGTCAGAGACTGATTTGACATTAGAAAGAGTAATTGATTTAACTAAAAAATATCAAGCAGCTCAAGATCAAAAACAACTTATGAATAGCACGGTTGTAGAAGAAAAATTAATAATGAAATTAAGCAAGCAACAAAATAAACAATTTAAACAAGGTCAATCAAATGTAAAAAAGGTGACAGTTAAACAAATAGAAAACTGTTCAAGATGTGGTAAAACACATGATGTCAATAAATGTCCAGCTTATCAACAGGAATGTATGAAATGTCATAAACCTAACCATTTTGCTATAAAATGTAAGTCTACTGTTGGTACAAATAACAGTAATAAAAATGATTGGAAGAAATCGAAAAAAACGAGCACTATTAAAGAAATATCAGTTAAAAACAATATCGTTTCTGCAGCTGATAGCTCTGGAGACCTATGTCTAGGAGCAGTATTTTGCAATGTCAGCAAATGTGAAAAGCGCAAGTCATCCAATGCAGCGGTTCAGTGGTATGAAGAGCTACAGGTTCAAGGGAAAATGATCCAGTTCAAACTAGATACGGGAGCAGAAGCCAATGTAATTCCATTATCAGTGTTGAACGCGGTGGGATTAACGCCTATCACAGTGAACAGATGCAAAGAAAAACTTGTAAATTATTCAGGTACTGATATTAATGCTTTAGGTAAAATTAATTTATTATGTAAAATTAAGTCAAATGATGAACAATATTTAGAGTTTTTTGTTGTAAATAATGAAAATTGTGTACCAATATTAGGATTAAATTCATGTGTGGAACTTAAGCTAATTAATAGAGTAGACATCTGTCAATTAAATCCTGATAAATTTAATTTAGAATGTGAGATTTATAAAAAGTTTAAAGATATTTTTCATGGGGTAGGTAATTTCAAACAAAACTATAATTTAGAACTAAAAAGTGATGCTAAACCAGTAACACATGCACCAAGAAAATTTGCTATTTCTTTATTAGATCAATTAAAAAATGAATTAAATAAATTAGAAAAGATGGGCATAATTAAAAAAGTTAATGTTCCTACAGAGTGGGTTAATTCTATGGTAGTAATTAAAAAACCTAATAATGAGTTGAGAATTTGCTTAGATCCACAGGATTTAAACAAAAATTTAAAGAGAACATTTTCCTATG